ACTTTCGACTCAAGTCGCAATTTTTTGCATGATTATTTATAAACTTTTTTTGCATCGGTAATTGCGATCATATTTCAAGGCTATGTGGCTCCCTGCAAAAAGATCCTCTACACTTCACCTCTGGGGCACCGATGAGAAGTTGCTGGAAATTATTCTCTTCGCTCTGCACTGAGATCTCGTCGAACGGGGTCTCTGTGCCACGCGTAGACGCAACGTTCTCTGATCGACGTCCGAGAGTATTACGTCGGGTCACATTTTTCAAGCCTACAGCAGGGCGAACTCCAATCTTCGGTAAAAAAAAAAAAGAAACCAATTTGCCCTTCGCTCTCTTGTCTTAGACCACCTGTATTGAGGTGGCTAGATTTCTTTAACGAATATTTACATCATGAGATCGACTGGTGGCTGATGAGGGCAGAGAAGCCAGATGACTGTCTCGTGGACTTCCGGTTACGGATCGGGGGAAATCGTGACGATCGGATCCTCTTCGATCTCAGGATAGCCACGCGTGGCTATCGAGGAAGCAGCACGTGGCCACACATCACTTAAAAAAGCCAAACGGTTTTATTTTTTTCGTGCGAGGATGCGCTGTAGCAGCACCACCAATGTGAGACGAAAGAAGGACGATCATCCATCGGACTTGGCATACGCAGTGCGTACAGACGGCAGGACCCGCGATGGGAAGAAGCAGAACAAGGCCCTCCAGAGTGCTCACGTGCCTGCCTTCTCTGGAGGGCCTTGAAGCAAAAATCGGGAGAGAGGGAAGAGGCAGGGTCGAAGCCTGGTCGAGGCCTGGTCGAGCCAAATCCAGCACGGAGGAGAGCCGTGTGCGAGGCCGAAAGTGTGCCTGACATACCCTCTCCCACTCCCAAATCATCTTTTTTTTATTTTCGGGACGAGGAAATAAGGCGATTGGTCACTGGTGGATTCACTGACAGCTTCAGGAGCGCCAACGCTTACTTTACTTCTTTACTGCTACTCATGAGCAGTGCTGTACCGAGGATACTTGGCGCCCTGTGTGAGATATCCCGCTTCCCCGGGCGAAATATCAGTCCAGCGCCTTCCCCCCCCCCCCCCCCTTACAGGATAATTCAGGATAATTTACATTTTTTAAAGGTTTCATTAATATATTGTAGTGATTTGGCAGCCAATCGGCGCCCCCTCAAGTCGCACCCCCCTCGGTATGGCTCTGCTCGTAGTGATTTACCCATTGCATAATGCCGAAAAGATGAAAGATGATAAAAAAAAAGATGAATCTCCTTGGCGAACAGAAGTGACAGATCACAGGATTCGTTAGTATATTCCAATAGTTGTGATTCTTCTGTTTCACATTTGACTCACGACCTCAGTGTGGATTCAGCATCACCTGGGGCAGACCAGTAGCGAAATTAAATGTTAACCCTTCCATGAGTAGTGAGAATACTTCCCAAATAAATAACGTTCGACCCTCACCGTGCTCTTAGAAGGCTTATAAGAAGAAAATCTTATAAGAAAAAAATTTCCCACGAGAAACACGGTTTTCCCACGGTTAAACGAGAAACGACCAGGGTCGGACTGATGGCCTAGGAGCCTGCCGGCAAATTGCTGACAAATTGACATTGCTGCAAAGTTCCCCCCCCCCCCCCCCCTCCTACTCCCAAGAATATGCAAGAGAAAATTTCAGGGATGGATTCAAAAGATACATCATTCAATGTTGATGTATTGTAATTATATATTGCAAATTAAGACAGTATTAAATACAGTAATGAACAGACATTCATACATTTTTTATTATCAGGTCGGCGAAGTTTCTCGGTACCGCGATGGGCCAGTCCGATCCAATCAGACATCCATTACTGTTCGCGATTAACTTTGCAATCAATATTCAAAGTGAAACAAAAAGGATGACGAATTCCGGGAGTGACCAGAAAGACCCTCAACCCATCCGCATGAACAACTGCACTGATGGATGGATTCCCCGCCCCGTTGAGGCCTTCCATCTGACCTGACATCTAGCAGTTTCTTCAAGGAATATAAAGTTCCCATAATATAAGCGAGGTCGAGCTCATCCCGCCGTTGTATGTCTCCCGATTCCCAAAATGCTAACGAATTGTTCTGCGTAAGCTTTCATCCTCTACTCGATAATTTCCCACGTACAAACCCAAGGAAGGAAGTCATTCTAATTAATTCATTTGTTGAGAGACATAAGACATAAGATAGCTCAAGGAGACTCCGGCAATTCTTACGCATTGTATGGTGAGAGCGTGGTTCCACTTGTCAAGTTAGTCTGTTCCTTGTCCGTATGATTCCGATAGGATGTAAATATAATATCGACTTAAATAAAATCACACCTTACTGTCTCACGAAGTAAAACAGCTAGGACCCGATAAATTTCATTCTTCTTCGGCTCAGGTGGGCCTAAATACTAAGCGCCCCAAAACACTGATACTAACCTAAATAAATTCAGGTTGCTTTCTCAATAAGGCCGTATAGTTCCCTACTCTTTAATTAAACCCCTAAAGAAAAAAAATCTCAAGGGAGAGATCCTTATCTAATGACTTAGCCCTGAGAAGGTGACTCATGGCTATGGGGGAGAAGTCAATCCGAGAGAGAGCTGCTTCTCCCCCATAGCCATGAGTCACCTCAGGGCTAAGTCATTAGCTTCATGAGGGTCTTGCTCTCTGCCAGCCCTCATGTTGGGAGGATCTCACCATGGTGGGCGAGAGTCATGTGTCGGTCCACCATATGACAGCGTGGCCCACCATACCTTTAGCTCCTAATTTAAAAAAAATCTCCGTATGAACCATGTCGCCTGTGGCGATGGGGAAAACAATCTCTTGATTGAGAGATAAGGACGGGAAGTGGAGAGTTTCAGCTCAATAATACTTCACTTTCCATCCGAAGACTCCTCTCCTAGTTCCTCTAAGGAACGTGAGAGGGCGAGATTCTCAATGTGCAGATAATGGCCTTTTCCCACATCATAAATATTCATGAGCATGCATATTATATTCCATAGTTACCTGGGGATTACTATCGCTGCACCCTCCAATGGCGATCCAAAAGCTTTCCCAAAGGGAATCTCCAATGGATCCAAAGAAATGGACATCCAATGGACATGTCCAAGGTTTATCCTTGGACGAGATATTTAGTCATCCAGTGGATATCCGAGAAGTGTAGTGCACGCCAGTGACTAATTGCCCTTTTCCCGTCAGGCTCCGGACTCCGGTCCGGGGTAGGGTTAATTAATTGCTACTCTCCGCTACCCATGTCCCTTCACCTGTAGTTGTGACAGCGACAAGACTTCCCTCTAACGAAAGCTGCTCGCTCGCGAAGCTGTGCTGAGGAACCCTGTATATTCTTTTGCTAACTTGCCGAACCAGAACCTAATCTGTCAACCGTAGATTAGAATAAAGAAAATCTGTGAAAAATCCCATTCTGTTGGAATCCTTGCCTCACGGCTACTGATTCCGTCCGACCAATACGAACCATCCCAAAGGGGCAAATTTCTAATATCCTTTCTTTTTTATTAATATTTTCTTGTTTCGCGACGGTCAAGGTAGTTTGCAGGTAGCTATTTAAGTACAGCCAGTACGAGTAAATACTACCGGCCACGCCAGACGACCGCGTGCGTTACAGAAGGATATACATTGTATGTCCAATAGATTTATTTTGGATCAAAATGGTTACTTGAGGAGGCGAGTCAGAAGTATTGTTCGTTGAAAATCTCTGAAGGTAAAGCACGTACTATACTAACACGAGATCAATTACATTTTTCATTGCCGGTCGGAAAATTCTGACACTCCTGCGTCCGCACTCGCACGGTGATGTGTGATGGAAAGAGATTGCATGCTCGTGAAAACAAACTGAACTGAATCGAGAGATGATGCAGACGAATTAACTCTATATATAGCTAGCATATGCTCCTATCTAGCTATATCTAGCTATATATAGCTAGCATATGCACCATCCTACTTGAGCTGAACTTTTCATTTATGGTGAGAACTGCAGTGGCACGGCTGGGAATTTTGCAGACTTTCTATATTTCTCATGCCTTGGGACAACATGAAGGACTAACAGCGTCTTATGCAAATTTTATAGGGGAAGTATAGAACTACCAGGAAATGTAATCATGACAGCTGGATCATAGCAATGCAGGAAGATGTAAACCCAGCAAAAAGTTCCAGGTAGAAATAGCAAGCATTCCATCTGTAAGTGCGAGCCACCTCCAACAGGAACTGCAGCAATTCCAACCAGACAATTTGTAAATTGTGATGCTGTTCCCAGTCGGAATTTTACGCTGTATTCTGCTGGATCTCAGCTTTTCCAATCAGAAAAAGCCTGTTCTCTAATTCCAAACTGGATTCAGTGACGCTTCCTGCACGGCAATCCAGCAGCCGGAAAATTCCATCACAAACTAAGAAAAACCAGTCATATTTCCAGCTGGAACTTTTTGCCAGGAAGAGGTGAAAACAGGTGATGTCAAAAAATGACAACTGAAGGTCAATGCTGAGCTGAACAACATTAAGTTCTATGAGTCAAATAGTGCCTCAAGAGCTCCTACATAGAATGCACAAAAGAATTGCATATGTAAACTTATTGGCCTTATTTTTTTTTACTGAGAAGGCTGGAAAGGATTCTAGTGAAGTCGGTTCGTGCTTGGTGACCTTGACCTATTGCCTCAATAAGTCACATGCATAGGTCATGGCTGGCTGGACTGGAGTTCTCATCCCCTCTTTCGTCCCTCTGCGAATGGGACATATGTGTCATGTTTAACCAAAATCCAAGTCAGTTAGCAAAGATTTTCCCTTGATTTTTGCCCACTTTTCCAGAGGTATTCTCTTCATAGGAGCCAATAAAATGGCACAATTTTGATATGTGATGCATGTTGCATGTATTCTGGAACTCTTTTAACAATAAGCAATGCCTCAAGAAGTTACACATAACACCATTATCAATATGTACAAACACTAACTTCTTTGTAATTGATTGGAATCAGGGTCACCGAGAGAACAGTAAGGAAATACTTATGAAGGGATGGAATAAAGGGAGGAAGCAATTGATCGAAGATGTTCACATTCTTGGACCATTTCCTCTTCTTCTCTCCATTGAATGTCATGGCCTTTGTCATGCTTTTCGAGACGGTCATAGATGTCATCATTATTTGCCAGGTCCCCTTCCTTTCTCGGCAGAATGTGCACATGAACGTGCTACAATGTTAAAATAATCGCATGAATCCTGTCATAACAGTTGCACTTGGTTGACATAAGAGACTTTTTGCAGGCCTACCTGTATAGTTTGTCCAGCATGAGGGCCATCCTGAACAGTGACAGTAAAGCTCTGAGTCGAGTAAACAACACCCAGAACCTTTTGGACTCTTTGAACAAGAGTGAAAAGATCTTGAAGTTCCATGGGAGTCAGATCTTGGAGATGTTTCGCCTCCCTAATGGGACTTGCCAGGACATCTGACCATAACTGAGTTCAGGAAACTCAGGTGAAACTCTAAAAGGGTAGGGGTCCCTGAGACCTACCAGAAACTTCATGCATACTTGGACATCAATAAGGAGCAGTAGTAGGACAATACCATGAAATGAATTTGTAAGGAAAACAGAATAAGACATGGCATCATGTTATAATGACTAACTGAGGGGTGACAGGAAAAGGATACGGCCGGAAAGGACGCACTTCTTGTTGACAAAGGCCATTGACATTGAAGTCCTCATAAATAACATCTTCCCCTTGATAAGAACTTGCCCAAACTGAAACTCTGCATCATCTCTAGGAAATGACTGGAGATGACCACAAGGAAGGGAATAGACATCTGGTCTTCGGTGTGAATGAACCGGCATTTCTTGGCGGATCTTCCTTAGATATTCTAGATCAACTTTGGCAACTGCCACATCTGTCCCCTCACGACATTGTGCAATCACTCTTCCCCATGGATCCACAATCTAGGATAAGAGTTGTAATTAATTGCAAGTTATTGGCAGAGAGGCAGGCAAGATGAAAAAAAAAGGATGCTTGTGTCACCCAAGTCTGATGAGCAACAACAGGAAACAATAAAGATGGAAATAATGAAAGAATGACAACAAGCACAAACAAGTACATACTGAAGATTCTGATTATTGTTATCAATTCGACTTGCTATCAGCAGGATGTGATCAAATCTAAAAATCTTACATTCATAATTCAATGTTTACTTATGTACTTTACTTATGTTCATGTTATGACCATAGCTAGATATTGTGTGTAAATACAGTCTAACTTCTTCATCTCATGAGAACTTTCAGGTTGATCAACTACTTCTCCAGATTGAGAGATCAGTAGTCAGGATGGTTAGGACACATCTACTCCTCGTGTCGCACATCCCATGCAACTCAAACCGAGCGTCTCTGTCTAAGACGACAGGCCTTTCCTTTCAAGCCTTTCCTTAAAGAGAAAGTTCTCCTGTTATCCACACAATTGTCGCTAAGGTTTGTTCATTCGAGACTGTCGGCAGGTGACAACGTCAATGAGTCAATTCTTCCAAACTCGACACGATCGGCCCGATTCAAAACATTGCCCGTGTCGGTAGGACACGGGCAATGTTTTGAATGGCAGACAGGCAGACAAGCTTGACAGGCAGACCGCAACCAACTAGGATTTAGAACTTGAGGTCTCCAATGAAGTATTCGCCCGCGCCCAATATGAAACCGGATTGCCAACCAAGGTATACGCCCGATCCGCAGGTTGGGTCGGTCCTAACGAGCCGGGCCGCATCCCATATAGAGCTCAAAAACATAATTCCCATACTTCATCCAATACCCGGCCATCGAAATTTGAAGGGCGTGTCTCATTTGAATGCTAGGGACGGAATTCGCTGAACATTAGCACGCACCCTGGCTTTGAGGGTTCACCGATGACGGAATGCCTCCCCTATTCTTCATCCAAGGCGTAACTTTGAAATAGGAACGTAGTCGCTTTAGAATGTTATGCGGCAGGGCTCATTAAAAACTGTTATGAAGAAAATTTGAAAGTTTATGATGATAGGAAGCATCCCAAATTCACCATTGCATGCCTAGGATATTAGGTGCAGCGTGGGTGGAAAAAGTGTGGAAGGGGAGGGCGACATGCCCCTCGAACTACGCAGTCAGCAGAACACATTCGTATTATTTGCGAATCATTTGAATAAAAATTCAGGGAACAGAAAAGGCGTATTTTAAGTTTTATGTCAATAAAGGAACTCTCGATATATTCCAACTGAAGTCAGCACCCGCCAGTTGCGACTAAAACCGTAAAAAAGCAGAGATGTCACACGATACATTGCAAAGAGAAGAAACTGAGATCAAATGGCTAAGATGTCAAAATTTGGGACAAGAAAAAGGAACACAATACATTTTTAAACTGAATTCAGCACACAATAGTTTCGACTATAGCCACGAACAGGCAGTGCAATTTTCCTAATCATCGCAGACAGGTGAAACAGTGTTCAATTAACAACAATGTCGATTTATAGGAAAAATAAATAAATAAATATCCGAAAATTCTATCTGAATTCAGTCCCCGCTAGTTGCGACTACCACCGCGAACACGCAGAACATTTTTCTGTTCCTTCGTAAAGAGCCCAACCAGTGGATATACAGCAAAGATGACGATTTCAAAGCGGAAAACTTTTATTATAATAATCAAACGGAAAGAAGAATCGCTACCTGCGACTAACACCTTGAAAAAGGAGTGTCGTCAAAGGATACATCCCAAAGAGCCGAAACTGAGATCATATGGCTACAACGACGCAATAGTTGCAACTACAGCAGCGAACAGTCAGTGCAATTTTCCCATGCATCGCAGACAGCTGAAACAGTGTTCAATTAACAAAGATGTCGATTTTTTGGGAGAAAAAATGAACTCTACATGCATTCGATATGACTTCAGCAGCGGCCACATCTTGCGGTTGCGACAACATCCGCGAACATCCAGTGAAATTTTTCTATGCATTGAAAACCGTCGAAACCGAGTCTATATAGCAACGAAGTCCATTTTTACATAGAAAAAAGGAACTCTCGATATATTCCATCTGAATATAGAACAGGCTAGTTGCGATTAAACACGTGAAATGCAGAGACGTCACATGAAGCCGAAACTGAGATCAAATGTCTACGATGTCGAATTCTAGGACAAAAAAGGAAATCTCCACACAATCCAACTGAATTCAGAACATGCTAGTTGCGACTAAAACCGTGAAATGCAGAGACGGCACACGATGCATTGCAAAGAGCCGAAACTGAGACCACATGGTTAGGAAGTCAATTTATATTACAATAATAAGGAACATACAAAATTTTTTAATGCATCGCTGACGGACGATACATTGTTCATGTAGCAACGATGCAAATTTTGAGGCAAAAAAAGAAATCGCCGTATATTCCATCTGAATTCGGCATCCGCAAGCTGCGACTACAGCCTCGATCAGTCAATGCAGTTTACGCATCGCAGACAGACGGAACTGTATTCATAAAATAACAATGTCAATTTCTAGGAAGGAAAAAGGTCATGTCCACAGATTCCAACTGAATTCAGAACAAGCCAGTTGCGATTAAAACCGTGCAATGCAGAGACGTCACACAGTGCATCCCAAAGAGCCGAAATTGAGATCAAATAGCTACGAAGTCAACTTATAGGACAATAAAAAGGAAATCTCCATATATTCATACCGAATTTAGTACACACTAGTTGCGACTATTTCAGCGGATGTCGAGTGATAATTTTCTATGCATCGTAAACCGTCGAAACCGAGTCTATATAGCAACGATGTCGATATTTATGTAGGACGAAAGGAATCTCGATATATTCCATCTGAATTCCGCACTCGCCCGTTGCGACTACAGACTCGATCAGTCAATGCAGTTTACGCATCGCAGACAGACGAAACTGTATTCATAAAATAACAATGTCGATTTCTAGGAAGAAAAAAGGTCATTTCCACAGATTCCAACTGAATTCAGAACAAGCCAGTTGCGACTACAGCCTCGATCAGTGAATGCAATTTACCTATGCATCGCAGACAAACTGTGTTCATTTGACAACAATGTCGATGTCTAGGCAGAAAAAGGAAATCTCCAAATATTCCAACTGAATTCAGCACCCGCCAGTTGCGACTAAAACCGTGAAGTGCAGAGATGTCACACAATGCATCGGAAAGTGCCGAAACTGAGATCAAATGGCTATGATGTCAATTTATAGGACGATAAAAAGGAACATTCCAAATTCGTAAACTGAATTCAGCACACAATAGTTTCGACTACAGCCGCGAACAGTCAGTGCAATTTTCCTATGCATCGCGAACAGCTGAAACCGTCTTCACAGAGTTACGAAGTTGATTTCATGGGTGGAAAACCAATTTTTGGAAGATTCCAACCGGATGTTACAATGCGACTATAGCCGCGAATGAACAGCTGCATTTTTTATATGCATCGCAAACGGGAGGAACCGAGTTCATCGAGCTGTATGTTAATTTCATCGCAGAAAACCAAATTTCCTAAATTTTCAAACTGAATTATCAACCGCCACCTTTTTCGGCGGACATGGAATGATATTTTTCTATGCATCCCGGACGACCAAATCCGAGTTCAAGGACCCACCATTGGAGATTTCAATCCTAAAAAAAGCCAACTTCAAAGTATCCTAAATAGAAGCCACCTGAAACTACAGGGTGGCTCAAAAAAGAAACTAAGCTACTGACTTCGAACTGGCTGCAGTGCCATGATTTGAGTAGGCTTTTAGGTACGCATGAAATAACTCTTGCAAAAGATATATATTATATATTCATATGGCATATAATCACAATTTTTTTGGTTTTATTCGGATGTAAATGGCCATCCCCATTTTAAAACTGCTGCAGCACAACCTGGCTGCCACTTGAGTTGGAGCGGAGAGAGTTGGATCATTTTTCTGACTTCCCATCGCCTTTAAAATCAGGTCTTGATCACTGCAAAGTCTTCACGTGCGGTATTGCTTTGTTCTACTGAAAAAAAAAATTGTTGGAATAGGAGGAAACACATCAAAACATTCGTACAGGAAATTAAATGTTTTTCTAATTACAACAGCTGTCGCTGCTGCGACTCGAATGGCAGTCGGAGACTGTTGCAGCATTTTCCGAATGGGGGTAGTTGTGATATCATACCATATAATTTTATATATGATGCAAAAGAGTTGTTTCATATGTGCCTAAAAGCTTGAAGTCAATAGCTTGTTTTTTTTTTCGCCTCCCTGTATATCCGCGGACATGGAGTGTTAATTTTCTATGCATCGCAAACATCTAATATCGAGTTCATTGAGCTACGTCGTCGAATCGAGGCAAGAAAAAGGAAATCTTTGGTCATGCTTAACAATCGCCACCAACGACTATGTCCGCTTTCATAGATGGATATTTTTCTTAAAATCACAAACAGCCGAAACGGAGTTAACTTAACTACGATGTCGATTCAAAGCCAAAATAAGCAACTTCCTAAACATTCCATTCGAATGCAGCAGCCGCCACCTGTGTCTTTGTGTGCGAACATTGAATAGTATTTTTCTATCTTTCTCCAACTGCCAAAACCGAGTTCACAGAGCTACGATGAGCTTGATTTCAATCTATAAATAGCATCTCTAAAAATATTCCAGCTGAATCCCGCAATTTCTACTTTAATATTTACCTTAAAATCACAAATCTTCGAAAAGGAGTTCATAGAGCTGGGATACCGAATCGAAAAAAGCAAATCTTGCATATTTCTATAACCAACAAATGGCACCTGCGACTACGTCCTCGTGCTGCCAAACTGCCAAAACCGAGTTGAAAGACCCACGATGTCTATTTCAAGCCACAAAAACCAACTTTTCATACATACCAACAGAATCAACCAGCCGCCGTCAGGGACTATGTTCGCGGACATGTAGTGATACTTTCTATGAATCGCAAACAGCCGAAACCGAGTTCATAGAGCTAGGATGTCGATTCCAAGAAAGAAAAGCAACTTTCCAAACATTCCAACTGAATGTTCGCAGCACCACCTGCGACTAATATGTGGGAAATGCATAAACATTTTTCTTTTCTAACCCATAGCCGAAGGAGTGGTCCACACGACTACGATGACAAATGGAAGTAGAAGAAAGCAGCTTTGCATCTTTCCTTAAGAAACCCAGAAATTGTAAATGCGACTAAATTCGTCGTAAAGGAATGAACATTTTTAGCTCTCACCTGTTGTCGAAATCGTGTAACACAAACGATGGTGAATCGAACCAAAAAAAAAACAGATTTTCCACATTTACGACCGAATCCAGAAAACGCCTTTTGCGACAAAAATTGTGGGAAAGGCTCGAATATTTTTTCACTCACGCATTACCAAAACTGACTTTATATAGACTGAAAGTCGATGTGAAGCTGAGAAACGCAGCTTTTCCATTATTCCGACTAAATGCAGAAATCGTCAACTTCCTCTTGATAAGTGACAATGCCCTGAAAATGTACTATCCACGACCCTTTGTAGAAATCTAATTCATGAAGTTACGATGAAGAATCGAAGCGTGAAAAAGAACCTTTTACATTTTTCAGATTGTATCTGGAAATTGGCGCACGTTTTTCTCCACGTTTCTGTCGGATCCAACTTCTTGGATTCGACAGTAAAATTTTCGTATTTATAAATCATAATGAAAATCAATATCACTACAAGAAGTAAAAGCTCTTGACGAGGCTTCAGCAGTCAGAATATTGTAATGGTTTGAGACCTGAAGAACGTTGACTTCGTCACTAGCTTAGGTAGCATCCCAGATGCATAATAGGGACCTCACTTTGAATTTCAACTTCAAAGGAAATAAATATCAATGATAATTAGCAATGAAAATATCTAAAGATCAGGTTTTTCGACCATAGCAGAAATTAAACAAAGAAACTGGAATCAAAAGGGAAAAATAGAACAAATGATGACAGACAAGAATAAAAAAGCTGTTTTCCATTTCATTATATTTCTGGGAAAATGGTATAGTCCTTTCCTTTTTCGTTTCAGGATTTGTTTTCGTTTTAAAGCACATATTATTCCAGAAACGATACCCTGAATCGACCAAAAATGATAAATGTTTGATTTGTTTAAAGAAGAAAAATACCAGCATTTGAAAGGGGATAACAGTAACCGAACAAAAACGGAAGTTAAATTTATTCATGAGAATGGAACATGCAAAAAAATAAACTCTAATGACTTATTTTGAAGTCCTGCCTGAAATAAAGAGGGTGTACACTTAAAATATGAATTTACTGTATGATTACATTAATAAACATGAATCAGAGCAAAAAAAAGGTTTTTCTATTAAAAAGAGATTTCTCTCCTGGGCGATAATACTGTAATGAAACTTTTATTGATAAAAGCATGCTCCATGTGATTAGCTAGCTGAATCATGTTTTAGATATACAAGTCCAAGCATACCATAGCATGGCCATATGAGGAGCGATTGGAATTGTGGATTCCAGTCTGCGCTGCAGCAATGACATAGCATTGAGTCTCAATGGCCCTGGCCCTGAGAAGTACTTCCCAATGGGCCAAACCTGTTGAGACAGTGAAGGCTGATGGGAAAGTCAGGATCTCTGCTCCTCTCTCCCTCAATGCCAATGACATTTCTGGGAAGCGCAAGTCATAGCACTGCATTCAGCAAGGGCTCAGGAAACTCAACTGAATTATCCTCACTTCATGTCTAAACGGGTCTCTTCACACTCATTCAATACATATCAAAATACTGAAAGTTTCAAATATTATATTTCATGGCATTCAATAATGGGGTATGCTTTATTTAATATGAGCACATTGCACACAACCTGTGCACAAGTGGAATGCAAAAATGTGGGATTAATCCAAAAACTTTTGCAGACCTAGTGTAGCGTTCAAATTAATGAAATATGAGTCACTACCAGCTTTTCTCCCCTAATTCTTGAAAATGGATTTCAGTCAAGATGTTATGAAAGATATCCTTCATATATCTCCTGCAAAGAAGTAAAGTGATAATTAGATCTTATTTCGAATAAAGAAGATATTTGTTTCAAATATTTTTCTCCTGGTGATTGTGCTCAATTCATGTAACATGAGTCACAAGAGTTCCTATCCATTTTGTTGTCCTCAACCTCACTTTTAAAATAGCACAGTACCTGTTTTGAGCATTTGTCCATTTTAAAAAGCATTTTACATATATAATTACATTTTTAGTTTTTTTCTATATCTCATTCGTCTGTTTTTGTGCATTCATATCTTTCTATTTTCTGCATGCTGTATTCTTTCAGTGCTTTTCAATATATTTTTAAAAGAGGGAACGTGGGAACATCTAAAAGTTCGCGTTTTTCCAGTGAAAAAGTTATTTCGGCGGATGTTGCTTTTCCTGCATGTTGAGTGGTATATACAGTAGCGCTCAAAAGTATTAGCACGATGTGATTTTTCGGCGTAAACGAGCCGAATATTGTCTAAATGAGCTGGTTTTTGGACTGCAGCTTGTTTAGACGAAATGCTTCACCTCGAGAATTCAAATTCTTTCAAAACAGTTTGATTTCATTTTAAATTATTATTTTTCGGTAAACATCCTTGAAACGGCGGTTTTCACACCAAGGAAAAAATAAATAAAAAATGAGTTCATGAAACAGGCAGTGGGAAGGCAAACAATTAGGAAGACCAAATCAGTACGCAGTTCGGGAAACCTTTGGCGTCGATCACTGCTTTGCACCGGGCCGGCATTGACTCGTGTCAATGGCACTTCGTGACACTTTAGTGATGGTCGACTTGTCAATGTCGTTCCAAAGCTTCTCCAATTGCTCGAACTTTTCCTGCGCATTTCTGGCCTTCAGGTCTCGGCTCCGTCTCCCCAACTCCTCCCACAAGTGCTCGATTGGGTTCAAGTCGGGGGACTGCGACGGCCAGTTGAGCACGTCGATGTTCTTGCGGTTGAGCCAGTCCCTGATCCGGCGGGCGGTGTGCTTCGGGTCGTTGTCCTGCTGGAATATCCAGCAGGATCCCATATTGGCGTTGGCATACGTCAGCATAACATCCTCCAGGATCTTATTGTACTCCTCAGCGTTCATAGTCCCGTTGATCCGGTGCAAGGGGCTGACTCCTCGACTGGAAAAGGCTCCCCACACCATCACCGACCCACCGCCATGTTTGACGGTGGGAAGCTGATAGCGGGGAGAGAACATTTTCCCCACTGGACGTCTTATGTATGCTATTCCGTCCTAACCAAACAAGGAAAACTTTGATTCGTCGCTGAATAGCACTTTAGACCAGTTCAGATGCTCGCGAGCGAACTTCAAACGAGCAGCTCGGTTCTTGGCAGAAATCAACAGCTTCTTGGCGGGACGTCTTCCATGGAGCCCGGCAGCAGTGAGACGTCTTTTTTACAGTTGAGTGGCTCACATGAACGCCATAGCTGGAGGCCAGGTCCTTACAAATGTCGACCGCAGTGAGACGAGGGTTGGAGACCGACATGCGTCGTATGACTTTATCCACTCTGCCCGTCGTCACACGTGGTCGACCACTGCGGGGAAGACTGCCAGTGCTGCCTCGAGTCCGATAGTTCTTCAAGGTGAAGTAAACGGTCGACTTCGAGGTCCCAACAGCATTTGCAATGTTGGAATAAGACGTACCCCTGTTGCGCAGTCGCACAATGATGTTCTTGGACGCACTGGATAGCTCGGCAACCTTTCCCATGCTGGAAATGATGGATTAGGCAGTTCCCTTTCTTAAAATATCGTCAAACTTCGAAATGTCGTCTCACCTTTCGTTGTAGAATAATTAATATTACAGGTGCACAGTTGACGCCAACAACAGAAAATAGATTAAAGAATTTATAAAAAAAATCAAAACGATCTGTGTTCAAACTACAAAGATCAGTTTGAAATAGAGACTCGCATGCTGTGTTCCAGTTGGTACGCATTTTCTCAGCGTTCAGTTGATTTACGCCAAAAAAATCACATCGTGCTAAGACTTTTGGGCGCTACTATATATACTTAATTTTAAAAATTTTTTCCCCAAGAAGTGCAACGGAGACGAGATATGAGATCCAGTGATGAGTTCCCCAATGAATTTCCATCCTATAGAATGAACAATGGTGTGCGGTTCTTTTGCACAATTTCCGGCGGCGTTTAAGTGCCCAAGACTGCTTTGATGAGCTCCTTCAAGTGTATGGCAGTGAAGCCCCAAGCATGACGACTGTGAGGAAGTGGTTTGGCCGTTTTCGAACTGAACATTTTGACCTCACGGACGAGACGCGTGAAGGTCGCCCAAAATCTGCGACAAATGACAAAAATGTGGCTGCCATCAAAAAGCTGATTGAAGAGGATCCCCACTTGACCCTTGAGAAGATGGAGCATCCATCTGGGATAGATGCCATGTCAATTGGAGTAATCCTGCACGACCACCTGAACATGACGAAAAAATCTTGCCGGTGGGTCCCACATGTCCTGACAGTGGAGCTAAAACAACACCGGGTCACTTTTGCAAAATGGTTCCTGGAAAAGTTCAAGAACGGCAAATCGAGCACCTATCCAAAGCTTTGCACTGGTGATGAGAGCTGGATTTTGGTACACCAAGCTGCAGTCCATGGAGTGGTCGGCCAAAGGTGCCCCTGCCCCAACAAAGGCCAGACGCCAGATGACCTCTGGGTTTTCCCAGATTTCCTTTGGATAGGTGCTCGATTTGCCGTTCTTGAACTTTTCCAGGAACCACTTTGCAAAAGTGACCCGGTGTTTTAGCTCCACTGTCATGTTTGCCATCTTCTTCAACCAAGCCGGAATTGTGGCCTCAGTGCCCTTGGAAGAGCATCGGTCGGTGACATCCGAGTGGTACACAAATGTCTGTCTGCCAAAAGTTTTTGTTAACCTCCTCAGAGGTCGTCCCAAGACGGAGCTCCGCAGGCATTTCCTCCACCATGAAAATGCCCCGGCTCACAAGGCCCATCGCACGGAGGACTTTCTGGCCGAGCAGGAGATTAAAGTTATCAACCCACCGCCGTATTCCCCTTGCGACTTTTGGTTATTCCCAAAAATTAAGGAAAAATTGCGCGGAAGGGTGTTTGACGGGCGCGAAGAGCTCGAGGCGGCAGTGAACGAGGAGCTGAAAAGGCTGGAAAAGGACGAAAATCGGAGGTGCTTCGATGCTTGGACCTCCAGGCTCGAAAAGTGCATTGAAGTTCATGGGATTACGTTAAGAAATCTTGAATGAAGGGCCTTTTGAGAGAGAAAAAAATTCTTGGTCTACCATTATTATAGAAAAAAACGCGAATTTTTTTTATGATCCCACGTATATGAAGGCTGTTCCTAACGTTTCTGACCTCATCTGGTTGTCTTTTTTATGAGATAGTTCTTGCAGTGGGCTAACTAAGCTTCATCGGTCAACTTTTAAGTGAGCAATAAAGCAATAAAAGTAAGCAATAAAAAGTGAAACTTTTGAGTCGTCTCGATGGTGCTCTTTGGGGAATCTTTTGCTTCATATTCCATTGTCAAATTTGGTTTTCTGAGAATTTCATTGTGGGGGAGCTTCAGTTTTTGATGAGACACTTCCTAGAAGTCCAGGAGAAACTGACCCCAGCGAATAGTGACCATGCAAAGAAATTGGTGATAGTCCTTGTCAATCCTACTGAAAGCATCAAGACACTCAACATCGGACCGGCCACAGCAAATGTCATCCTTAAAATTCACCTGGGGTTGGGACCTCTTCTGCTGTTGGGTACCCCACAAAATGACAGAGGTCCAGAAAGTGGCTAGGTTTGGTTGGTGTCGTTTCATGTTTCAAAAGTAGAAATGAGGATAATCAAAAACCTTTTGGAACCGTGACAGGTGAAAAAACCTGAATATATAACTATGATCAAGAATAAAAACGATAATCCTCTTTTTTGTTGCTTCCAGGAGAAGCCTCCAAAGGCGATTACTCACAGCAGGACATTTGAAAAAAGGAAAGTGGTTGTTTTCTTTCAGTGGTATGGCTTGCTTAAAGAGATGATGCATCACTTTCACTTGCATTCTTGAAGATGCCTCAAGAATGCACAACAATGAATGCTGATTGGTACTGCAAAGTGTGGCAGCCTCAGGGGTTCCACATTTTGGAGATCAACATCTAGTCAAGTCTCTGGGGGTTCAGCCGCATCACAACTGAGCTAGTGCCCACACCACAGCACAACATTTTTACTTTTTGGTTGAAAAAGGTGAGCGGTTCATCACTCATCCACATAATTCCTCTGACCTGGTCCCATGTGACTTTTATATGTCCCCAAAAGTCAAGAGGGAGCTCAAAAGCACTTTTCAAAAGCAACAAAGGGACCCTTACAGTACTTCAAGCTGTCCTGAAAAAAGTTGTCTCCAATTGGTGCAGCTCATTTCAGAAGTGGTTTGGGATGATGGAAAAGTGTTTGGTCTCATGAAAAATATCTGGAATAGTTGTGAAAATTTTAATTAGTTTGGCCAGTATTAAAGGTTTTTAGGCCACAAACTTTTGGAGCAGCCTTCATATATTTCTTTATACAAAGAAATGTATACCAGTTCTTTTCTTGTGCAATGTTCATGAATTTTTAAATTTCATTTTCCTTTATTCACTTTGTGTTGATGGGCATTGAATACTACCTTTTGGACACAAAGATCGGTGAATTCAGAGGTAAGACATGAAAAGATAAAGTTTACATTTGTAAAATTCAGACATGCTAGTGAACTACTGCAAGTGGCCCATGTTAGACAATCTGGCAAGGAAAGCACTCAAAGAGGCTAGTGATCCAAAATGTATTGCAAGGAGACTCTTATTCTTGGTAACCCATCTCTGTAAATCTCTCAAATGCGGCAAGAGCAGCTCTATCAGCAGAATAAAATATCACTTAGCATCTGAAAATGAGTTGGCACTGAGGAGGAGCATGCCTTGAACATGTCCTTGAGTGATGATGTGTGAATTTCTTGGAGACTAATTTTCCCTGTTCAAATCTTGCTCCAGAAAAGTCAATTTCCATGTGGTTTCCAGCAAGAGAAAGTTAAATTTCTTTTCTTTCTAGCAGACAAAAATTTTGCATTCATGGGATAACAGACATGACAGCAGCATGTTGCATATCCTCCAGTATACTGGCCACCTCTCTGAAAATGGCATCCTTAAGGTCTGGAATTGTGTGTGGGGTCCTTAAGTACACATAAGACTCCAGAAACCCCCACAACCAAGAGTCTACAGGTGTAAGGTTTGGTGAATGCAGTGACCATTCATAAAGAATATATCAAGAAATTATGTGATCCTGGATCATGTGCTTGGCATGACATGTTAGGAGTAGGGCCATACTGCAGAAAGACTGTGGCATCCAGCACATTTTGTTGTTGAAGAGTGGGAATGACAAAGGTTGTTAGCATGTTCTGTTCTCATATGCCTAGCTTCATATCTCAATATGAGCTGCAGTCAAAAATAGTTTTCATAGTTGTCCAATAAAACAAAAACTATTTTGTGCAACTCCAATTTGGATCATTCATTTCTCAATCCAGTCCCCTTGCTTCTCTTTGCAAGACATGCAAGATATTTTTATCCACAAGAGGTAACACCGGGTGAACATTTCTTTGGAGGTAAGTCAGATCCACTGCCAAATAGCACTGAAGAATGCTGATTTACCCCCATACAAAAAGTTCAAGACTATGCCCAGGGCTTCCAAGAATCACAATGCCATTCTTTGGGACATGAAGTGCCCCCTGGTCATTTTCCCTGTACCTTTGGGCTCAATCATCAGTGTTACTACAGAGACCTGCTATCCAATGAACTCCTTCCAAAAATCATAAAAATGATAAAACCTTCCCATCAAGAGTGATCCTCCGCCAGGACAATGCTCCTTGAGCTCAAGGAGCTCAAGTTGTTACTTGAGCTCACTTGTTACCTGTAGCTATATCCTCCAACAAAAACCAATTGAGATGCTGCTGCATCCCCTCATTCTCCAGATCTTGCCACCAAAGACTTATGGTTGTTTAGAAAAACTGATCAAGTACCTAAGTAGGCATTCCTATTACTCTCAGAAATGCTCTTTGGTAGTGATTCTGACATACCCCCGAAGAAATATTCACTCAGTGCTACCTCTTGAGGATAAAAATTTGGCAGTCTTGCAAAGAGAAGCAGGGTGATGACACTGAAAAGTGAATAGTGAAAATTGGAGCTATACCATATAGTTTTAATTTTATTGGACTACAAAGGAAACGTTTTTATTGCACCTCATATATGAAAATTGCATCAATACATATGGCACATATACCTGTGTATAACTGCCAGTATTGGGCAGTAAATACAATTACTTGAAAAATGCTTTATTAAACACATTTGTCATTTTTATTTTGCATTTCAAGCACTTGAGCAAATATTTAGTATTTGGATTTTTAAATACTCTAAGGCAAGTATTTTGTATTTCCATATGTATTTGAAAATGCAAATGATAAAAACCAATACTAAATACATAATGAGTACAGGGCTTGTACTGCTAAATAAAAATACTATAATAAAAAAAAAACATTTTTCAAATAATTGTATTTCACTTACTGCCACAACACTGGAAGTTAATTTTGAAGCAGTCTCTTGTCTTGAGAGGGCCATAATAAACAGAACTCTATGCAGCTATAAAAACTATAATCCTTCAGAAAATGAAAACATTTAGAGGAAGAAACAAATCTCATTTTTTCAATGATGAATAATTCATAACTCCAGCAGGATACATTAACAGAATTGGAATCAGGTCTATAAGGTAAATGCCCAGCATAAAATCAAATTGTATTGTACCAGCACCAATGTGCTACAACTTACACTCTTGAAAACTTGCAAGACTGATGCTTATGCTTATATAATCAAGAAAGGAGGTTCAATGGTATTATCTTGATTGTAACCAGTGGAACCTTTTATAAACATTTTCAGGGATAAAATGAAAATAAAGATTTCATGCCATTCAGGGAGTTGTTTGGATTTCCATGGCATGGGAGTTCATGAAGTCATGTGAACCCCTCAGGTAGGAATTAATGAACACACCATGACAGAGTTGGTGGTTTGGAAATGCTGATTGGTAAATCCTTGGCTCAACTGAAGAGTTTGTTTAACTTTGGCTGAGGGGGAGGGGCAGAGCAATTGCAGACTTGAAAACAGTTCACCCAGTTGACCATCTGATGTAGCATCAGCTGCATCCATTCAGTATCTCCTTTCTCATCAATACACTTTTATGGAGCTTAAGATCTGCTATTGACCAAATCTTAATGATTTATGAATTTACTTTAGTAATTACTTTGATATCTCAGCATTTTTGGCAGTCACCCAGCCCAACTACCCCAAGGACAAGTCAATTTCTCCTCTTCAAAATTAACTTTTGTAAATTTAAGAAGGAAAGGATACAATGCCCATTCCTACTCTCCCAGCAGGGGTCTGAACTGGAAGACAAACTTCATTTCCTGGAATGGTGTAGTCAGATTCCCTTAATTTCACTCCTTTTTCTGGCAAATCTACATCAAATAGGTGAAGCTTCCTGTATTTTCCACAAATCTCTCCTCTCTCATCCACAAGTAAATGTTCATTTTCCACCATTCCCTGGAAAATTCTCCAAGCAATTATTGGTAGGCCTATGCCAAAGAGCCACATTTAGGATCACAGAGGAAAAGATATAGGTACCTGTTGAGAGCTGCGAAGATGAAAGCCTCCAAGGGAAAGCCATATGCTCAAGTTTTTGGCCAGATACCGATACCTTGTGATCAGGGGCCCATCCAAGCTTTCACTCAGGAGGCAGGACTGGCTCTGGGAATTTCCAATGAAGTCAAAGGCCTCTGGCAGGAAGATCACCTGCCACCAGGGATTACATTAACAAGGTGAAAGATAAATTACTTCTTACAGCTTAAATCTTTCCATAATTTCAACTTGGAGACTGCCCTGGTTTTGACATTTTTGGAAATGGGACACACAGGTGGGTAACTACTATGCAGATTTTATTCTCTTCAAATTCTCATAGGACACTCTCTACCTAAAGTAGAGAGAAATGAATGGGTTCCCTCTCAGCAAAAATTTCAAGGACATCAAAACCAAGAAGTTTAATGATGAAAGAATAAATAATCCACATGGGCAAATGACCAAGATTACAGTACTGAGATCACAACACGATTCATATGAAGAAAATGATGCTTTGAGAAGGAATGAATGCAAGGAATAATGGGCAAAGTGCCACAACCACAATTCTTTAGGTTCATACAAAACTGAACCTTCAGGCAAATTTTAGACATAATGGCTCTAAACAAAAGTAGCTCAAACTGCTATGAAGTACAAACTGGTGAACATCCATTCTTCTGAAAATTAAATCAAACAATTTTCTGGAAATTTTTTTCAATTAGGCCTAGCAAAAAAATATGAACCCATAGCAGATAAGAGTTGTAAACATTACTGTAAGTGACTCCATGAAATCCATGTTTAACATATTTGAGATATTTTTTTATTTCAACATCTAAGAGTGCTCATCAAATCAATCTCATTCACTGTTAAGCACTTGTTCTATAACCAACAAATATGTTAGACTAGCTGGCTCCCTGTAACTCTGGAGGCATAACATTCAAGAACTTTAGATGCAATAAAAAATCTGCTTCAAATATAAGCCTAAATAAATCTCACAGCCAAGTAAAATTTTTCATTCATGCCCTATAGCAAAAACTAACTCACAAGGCAGGGGCACATAATGTAGGCTATCCTCACACAGATGAGACTAGTGAGATAAAACATGAGTTATATGTAATAATGGAGCATCCCTATAAGACTTCAAGGGAAAGAGTACTACATATCAAGGATACTTTCATTTCACTGAATGTCTAAGCTGGTATATGTGATCCCACTTTGACAAAGTTGGCATGGAGATGAAATCAAGGGTTGTTCAACACTGTAACCTCATGCAAGGCTAGTGGAATGCATATAAGAGAAGAAACCTAAACAGCACTCTCCAACTCCTTCAAATTCTTCAGGAAATCAGCTGGAGTAAGGATCTGTGTAGAACCAATGATGACTTCCCAGTTCTTGTATGCATTGGTAATCTCATATGCAGACCTCATTTCAGAGAAAGTCACCCCTCCGACAATAAAGATGATAAGTCGAGGGACATTTTTGACTGAAGTCTGAGTCTTCTCCCGATGCCACTGACCATAGCGGGCACTGACAGTTGCCCCACTCCGCATCCCTGCCCCAGCTGCTCCCCTCCCAGCAAGAAAAGGATAGTGCTTCTGGTCAAGCTTGTCCTCAATGGCATCCTCCATTATGTCTTTAATCAGTGGGGTCCAGCGAGATGTCTGGTAAGTTTGCTCTGAAATCCTGTCCTTCCGGGTAGGCTGGTAGATCTTCTTGCGATTCCCATCAATGACAACGTTGAGGCCAAGATGATTCAAGTTGACAAGGGTAGACCGTTCAGCTTGAGGAATTTGACCATGCTGCATCAGCTTCCCCAGATTTTCCTCACTGATACCATTCTTGGCCAAGATAAACAAGAGGATTATGCGGATTTTGTCACTGACATCAACTGAATTGTCCAAGAGAACCGGGACTATGTTTTTCATGTGATCACGAATTCTTTCACCCTCAGCATCAGTCCCCATTGCCAGGTCCTGCTCCACTTTGCACAGTTTATCTGCATAACCTTGATATACCTTCATGCAGTCCTCTGCCAGGTGCAGGTGGGTGGAGTACTTGCTTAGCTCTTGCTGATACTGTGGCATTTTCTTGATCATCTGAGACAGGTCCCTCATGGAAGCCTTGTCCGTGTCCATCCTCTTAGACTTCATGAAGTCCTTCATGAAGTCAGACACCTGCTTGGAAACTACAGCTATATGTTGGTGTCTCAGGGTGACCCACATGTCATCTTGCTCATCAAGGATGACCTCCTTAAAGGGTACACCCTTAGATGCCTCATATGTATATACATCATTTTTTATGTTAATGAGGTCATATGCCATGGCCTGAAAGGTGAGTTCATGAAGTAATGGTGATACAGCATCAAAGCCCCTGTCTAAAATCAGAAGTTGGGAACGGGCCTTTTCAGGCCCTTCACCCATTGTTGGTTCATCAGCTTTATAAGCATCCAATTTGTGCTGGACAATCTGGGCTAACTCCACATTCTTGGGGTAATCACTTCTGTATCTGACTGATGGATATTCCCCCAAAGTGGCACAGAGAGTTGCCAACTGTTCAGCCATTCGCTCCATCACCTGCTGGCGGTTATGGTTTGCCTGTGATGTAACAGGCTGGAAATAATACTGCAATGCTTTTGGGTGATCCAATGAAAAAACTTGGCCCTCATATGGCAAGAATGCAATGTTGATTTCCTTCAGAGTCTTTATGTATTTTGCAACTGGAGCACGACAGAGTTTGTTGAAGAGCTCTTCAGAACATGCCTCTGTGAAAAAAACATGAGCAGCCTTGTACAAGACACGACCATGAGGGAAGTCTTTGATGACCCGATCAATTATGGATTCTGTGGGGCAGACCAGATATAAAGCTTCCATAGATGTCAGGGGTTCTCGGTTCTTGTCAATGTCTTCAACAATCGTGATGCCTTCAGCTGCAATGTCATGCATCTTCAGACACGTTGAAACCATCCTCATACCAAGTTTATCAACAACTAAAAGTCTCCAGTCAGGTCCTTTGGTCTGCCTTTTGGATTTTATAACTTCATTCATGATCTTGACACCAACTATTGTCTTGAGAGCCATTTTTCTGTGTCTCTCTCAATGGACCACTGACAATAGTGATGATGATTATATGATGTGTCCCTCACCTTCAGACCTGGAGAGGTGTCAAGTTACCAAAATTAGCATCAGATGGGTATTATTAAATAGGCCTATAAATTTACTAATCAACAGCCATGGGAGATGATGACATGAAAAATCCCTTTGGATACTTGATAGCTAGAAAGGTCAAATTGAGGTAGAAAAAGGCAAGACTCAATAAGCCAACCTCAAAAACACAAAGAAGGGGAATAATTTAATGCAAATGCAGATTTTTCCTGCAGGGTTGAAGGGTCATGCAAGTCTGATATGAGCATGTATTGTTTGTAGAAGCAACTAATGCTTTAAGAAACATTTAAATACACATTTGTGTATTTATGTAACTCTGCACATTTTACTCATTTTCTGAGGCAAAAATAAAAATCAAGGTATATGCTGCTGATTTCTAAAAAATGTTTTTTTTTTCTTTCAGGTGAAAAAAAAAAAGATAAATTTCTCAACAGCCACCAGTTGTGACAGGGGCAGGCTATCCCACTCAACTGATGCCTGAGGTTATCTCCATGTTGGAACCCAGTCTCAATCCAAAGTGTATTTATTTTATAACAAATTCCAATAAATGTAGAACTTTAACAATAAAAGAATATATTGTTCCTCAAGTACAACTGGCATAACAAGTAAAAAGTACAGGATGTCCAGCAAATTTGCTGGAGGTGCTGTAATTATTACAGACATGCAAAACATAAAACTTTTTGCAATGTGTGCAACAAAATGTGGAGTATTCAAACTCATAGGCTTAGCTTATAGTGGGTAGCTAGGGGCAACATATTTTTTAGCTTCATATGCAACACATGCTGAATATCTCAAAAATTAAGCATGATACATGCATAATACTTACATGGTCAAATAGTGGTTAAATTGGCCTTTCATTTGATGCATAAATCATTTTCATGTGATGAGAACAAGTTTATCATGAGTTTGCCAAATCTAGTGCAGGTATTTTTTTTTGCACCACCCTATAGTTTCTAAATTTTAATTCATCATTTACTATGACCACTAAGTTCTCATCTTGTCCTCATGTATTTTCAAGATTATTCCCCCAGATGTGACTAATGCTTACATTTGAAAAGTACGGGAACTTTGCTAGGTAGGGTAAACAATTGAATATGTCCCAGGGGAACATATGCCAAATGTCATGGCTGCTTTAATTAGAAGAGTGTAGAAGTGGATTGATGTTCTGAACCAGCAAGTGAATATTGTTTGGAACTTGGGCAAATATACTCTAATACATTTCTGACAAATAAATACCTATTAATGTTAAGTTATAAAAATACTAGCAGTTGCACAGGTGAATATTATATACATCCCATATTTGAGGGCTTAATATTGTTTTAATGCCTATTTGGCAAACTGGCTAGAAATTGTTTAAAATATGTAGCTTTCACAACACAACCAATTGTAAAATTTCCAGTAGCAAGCTGCATGTTACAACTTAAATTTTCTTAATAAGCCCCAAAATGTTGACTCCTTGGGGAGTCTGTAGTAGTGAATTGGCCAAATCTGCACTAAATAAGGTACTGCTGGGGTTCCAACTTTTGAAACACCACCCAGCCTATGACCATCCCAGGACCAAATGAGGGAAGCAACACAAAGTTTGGTTGGACTGGGATCAGAGGCATGGTCATCCATAAAGGACAGACAGACACACAAACATTCTGAAGTATAGTATAAATAAGTTATATATACATAAACCTTGCAATTTGTGGTGAACACTTTGTAATGAACTGAAGCACATCCAAGCAAACACATAGACACACCCTCCTTCCAATATTATGACCAGAACTAATGCATTGAGGGGAGGTAGTATAATGCATAATTAATTGTACAGCAGAACTGGAACTAAAACCATTTTACATCCAGCCCATTATGTCACTGTGCCCTAAAGGTATACAAGATGGCAATATGGGCAAACAGCACTTTGGGGCTGAGAGTCTGTAAACTTGTCTTCCAGTACTGAGAGGCTAGAAATGTGGGGATCTTTTCCTGCCTAAACAAATTTTTGCCAGTACTTCCAATCTTATTTCAATCTCTTCAATATTTGGGTGACAACTTCCTCCTTCCCTTACAGTCACACAGGCTTTGGTCTTATACCCAACAACCCATAAGAATTCAGCCAATGATGAAAGGTCAACTTACTTTTGCACCTCGAGAATGCCCTTCCTGAATAAGTTGCTCACAGATATGAAAATTTTCTTCCTTGTCTGTTCCAGCTGTGAACTGTGTCACTGCAACAAGACAGGAATGGCTGTTGAACATTCTTGCATAATGAATGAATGTAGACTTTTTTCTAGCAATCAGTCCTTTCAGGAAGCTGAAACGAAAACCCAATGTAGACTGAAACACTTCTAGCGACACGCTGGGGACTATTCTTTGCATGGGCTTCACCCAGGAAGACTCAAATCCTTTGATGGGCCAATGGTTTGACCTACAGGAGATGCAGTGAACATCAGGGCTGATCTGAACAGGAGCATTCAAGCTTAGGTCTAGGATTATATTTAAACAATTCCTTCCTTTGAAAGGAAATTCTTTTCCTGTCAAAGTAACATGAAAGGAAAAGAAAAAGTATGAAACAAAGTGGCATGGGTGTAAGGAACAACTGAAAAGCAATACATAAGATGACTTTGAAGTAAGTCCAGGTAACTAATATCCATGGATCATAGAAAGCATTTTAGCAGTATATCAAGGAGAAAGCCAACCAACAATCAAGATTTCATGCTCTTACTTGACATATAATACAAAGGATTTTGCTTTGAGAACAATGATCCACCACTTCAGAGCTTGATCACAGTAAGAAAAGTTGAAGAAAAAAAAAACTACTACAGGATTAAGCATAATACTCTCATTTAAAATTTTAAATTAAAAAAACTTCAAAATAAAATAGAGTATTAGTAATTTGAACCTATTTCAATGTCTTGCAACTAGTCTTTACCAGACCTCGAGCATACAGGAGTATTTCCTTAGAAAAAAAAGTATCTACATGACTAGATGGAAACCATTATGCTCACAAGAAAGTTACACCTAGGAAGTCATATACAGGGTGTTCATATTTAAACACAACATGGGGAAATGATTGCCACCTGTTAGTGGACTTCAGCATGTGCCCTACAGCTCACCGGGTTGCATATCTGAGGATGAAACAGATCACTAATATGTTTCCTTGCAGATAGACAACCCAATGGGCCTTATAATGTTCGCCAACCTCCGCCTACAGGCGGCAAAATATTCCCTATGTTGTGTTTAAATATGAACACCCTGTATATTATTGCTTAACCCATTGATGCCTGGAACCGTAATATTACATTTTTAAACCCAAAGTGTTCTGGAGTTGCTGGGTGTGAATGTGTTAAGAGTACCAAAATTAACATATTCTCATAGTTGAGTATTCCAAGGTGCATAATACTGGCCAAAAGTTATTATGTTTGTGTTCCATAGAATATCACTTGAAGCATTACATGCAAGGCCAGTGACGTCAAAGTGTCATACGACTTGAATCAAATAACTTAGACAAGATAAAACTAATAATTTCAAATCTTTCCTGAATCACAATGACCAAGTAAAACTTAGAACAAACAATATCCCATTAAACTCATAGTCTCATCAAAGAGATAATATAAATAAGAAACCCTTTTTTTATGCCTTCACTTGGTGCAATTATGTTGCTGGTAAAAATAGGGCATTTTAACTACTTGACCTAGATATGCCTGGTGTCCTATGTGTAGGACAGTGTGCAGAGATGTGCCTCCATATAAAACATGCATCCTTCACACAGAAGGCCAGACACATCTGGATTAAACAAGCTGCATGCTACAAAGTACATGATCTTACCCCAGGCATACCTAGCCATACATATACATGTTCAAGTGTTAAGGTTGCCAAAGGCCATCTCCATGGACCTTCCTACTTGCCTAGACGTGAATGAGAAAGAGGGTGCCTGAAGGTTTTAAGGGTTATACATGCTTCCACTCAATAGGGAAATTAGGCACTGGTTCTATCATTCTCATCCTAAAATTCACACTTTTGGTAGTGATCACTCATGTGGGGAGAAAATGGGATTACAAATGCCCAAATATCACTTCCTATGAGGCCCATTCCCATGAGCTGTCTCTGATACAAATGATAACCCTGTAAATGTGGTTCAGATTAAATATACTGACATAAATAAGTCATATTCAGTCTAAATACATAGGAATGTGCAGTCCAGAAGTCAATATCTCATGCAAAAATGAAGTGATCATAAGTATTAGCTAAGTTGAATAAGGTCCAGTCTAATTTGTCAAAGTGATCATGGCATCTATCTGCCATTCTGTCACTGGGATGAAAAGAGCAGTAAGAAATGGGGTTACTTTAACTGAATACAACAATGACATTGATACCAGTAACTCATTCATAAGCATGACTTTTCCCACTCACACTGCTTTTTTTAACCATATCCAGAAAGCAATTATTGAATTGGTCTGAAACATGCTCACTTAGAATAGGGAAATTAATGGGAAAATGTAATTACTATGTTATGAGTATGCCTGAATCTTCATTCATTCAATGCCTCATTGTGGAACAGATGAAAATTAGCAAATCATTGAATATGCCAAAGATACAATGGAGGTGTTAACTCATTCAACAGTTGAGTCTCACTAAAAGTGCTACCATGCCTATTTTTTGTCACACCCAGATCTAAAATGATGCCATCAGACTCCATTATCCCCTTTTTTTTCTGCTCTGCA